CTCCCGCATGAGCCCTTGATAGTTTATAAATGGGTATTTTGTCATATCTTGCCCTGTCCGACGTCTCCCTTCATCCACGTTTCGGTTGTCTGTCCCCCAGGGAGGAGGTCACACACAGTTCCATGTAATCGGTTGCCAAGTGTTTTTTTTTGTCACAACTACTCAACTGCATGTTTTTAGGACAAACGCAGCCATGGACAACAAGTAAATAAGTGGTAATGGCTGTGTTCCAATCAAACTTTATTTACAAACAAACACAGGAGGTGAGCTAGACTTGGCCCATGGCCATAGTTTCCCACTCTCTGCACTAGGATGTGTCAGCTAGAGATGATCTGTTTCACAGGTTTAACTAGTTTTGATTATTTGTCTTAAAAGTTGAGAGCCTGCGGACTGAAGGACATACCTGGGGGCCTCCCACATGAGGGACACAGACCAGGTGAAGTCAGATGTGTAGAGCTGAGTGGTCCTGACTCCGTCTTTGACAAAACTTCCAGAGTTTCAGTGACCATTGATGAGCTCAGTAAGAATTTAATGCTCCCTTAAGTTTAGTGTCTTAATATATACGCATTTTTAAAAGATGGTGTATTGTGAAAGGGAGGTATCCACGTTGAGAAGCTGAGCAGACAGAAATCGGATGGATGGCCAGGGCTGTGAACCCCTTGGTAACTGTTGCATGAAGACATTGCCTAAGAGTCTGGCTAGACCAGAGGATGGACACTGGTACAGATGGGAACTGGAAGCAAGGGAATCCAGGGTGGATGATCCCTTCAGGACCAGTGGTGTGAGTGGCGATACTGGGAGGGTAGAGCCTACGTTTGTGGCTGGACGGCAGATGAGCTGTGGCAATTGCAAAGGAAGCAGGGGTCATTACAAAAAGAAGGGGCATTAACTCAGAACCCCCAGTTGGGGCATATGAATATCCTGTCTATTTTCAAGGGACAAACTTCCTTCTGACTTAACTGGACACTCATATTTTCAGACTGAGGATTTGAGGGGGCTGCACATTTAACTTTTCCTCGCAGTTCCTATGATTTGTTTCACTTTGGTTCCTTAGACTGATGAGATTTTGAGTATTTAAAAGCATAAGTCTTACTTAGCTACAATTAGATTTCCACGTGACTATGGGGCAGGGCATTGTTGCTCTGACCACTGTTATTAGTAAGGACGGCATCATTGTCAGCCACACGTGTGGCACAGCACTCTCACTTACAGAGGCCCCTCCACCCTGCACTCCCTCACAGCCTGGCAGAATGGGAAAGCGAAGCACCATTTGTAGCACCTCTGGGCTATACAGATAGTCTAAAAACACTCTCTTGTGGAGCACCATCTCCAATGAAACGGATTTCTTCAAGTGCAAAGCCAAGGGGAGTTGGGTCCGTGGCCAGGAGAGGACGTTCTGCTGGGTGTCGATTGGTGCCAGAGACTTGCCCCCTAACAGTCGTGTGGGGCTGGCATGTAGCTCCCTGTATTTGAGATGCTGGTTTACAGCACAGGCTCTACAGAGCGGGGCGTGGTCAGGATGGCTCCAGAGCTTGAATCCCCCATGCCGGGCCCTCTTATGCCTGTGCTTCTGCAGCTTGGGGATCCTCAGTAGGCTCACCTCCATGGGCAGCTGCCTTCCGCCCCCTGTTGGTCTTTCCGGCAATGATTCTTCAGCCCTGGTTTCCTGCCCTCCCACAGGTATGAGAAAATGACCAGTGGGATGTACCTGGGTGAGATAGTCCGGCAGATCCTCATCGACCTGACCAAGCAGGGGCTGCTCTTCCGCGGGCACATTTCAGAGTGTCTGCGGACGAGGGGCATCTTCGAAACCAAGTTCCTGTCTCAGATCGAAAGGTGAGGTTTGATTCGCTTTTCCTCTCTTGTGGGAGAGGCATGGGTTGGGACAGAGGGCTCCCCCATCGGGGTCGGGCAGGTCGGAGATGAAAAAGGAAACATAAAGACCCCGGAGAAAGCTGTTCCCGTTCTCCAGCTGCAGCGAGGAGGGGCTGCACCCGGCCTGGGTCCTTGGATCATTTAGCAGAAGGGACTACTTATTAGACAGCGGTTAAACTATCTAAACTATTTATTGCACTGAAGTTAGCTTAAAGCTGTCTACTTTCTTTTGTTCCTAAAATGTTGTGCCTGTAATATCAAAGAAAATTCAAGGGATGGGCCAGTCAGGGTACAGTATAGCACTGATGAAACATACAACTTTCCTCTAGTTCTTTAATGCTTTCCCTCTCCCCCATCATGACCCCGATTCTACCTTACAAATCTGGCTAGACCAGAGCATGTACACGGGTACAGATAAGAGCTGGAAACACAGGGAATCCAGGACAGATAAACCCCTCAGAACCAATAATGAGAGTAGCGATACCAGGAGGGGAAAGGGAAGTTGCGGGGAGAAAGAGGGAACCGATCACAATGATTGACATATAACCCTTCTCAGGGGGACGGACACTAGAAAAGTGGGTGAAGGGAGACATCGGTCAGTGTAAGACATGAAAAATAATAATAATTTATAAATTATAAGGGTTCATGAGGGAGGGAGGGAAAAGAAATGAGCTGATACCAAGGGCTCAAGTAGGAAGAACGCGTTTTGAAAGTGATGAGGGCAACATATGTACAAATGTGCTTGACACAATGGATGGATGTATGGATTGTGATAAGAGTTGTACAATCCCCCAATTAAATGATTTTAAAAAAGGAAATTTCAGGAAAAAAGTACATCCATGACCAATTACAACTATTTTCATTTTTGCTTTTTGTACTTCCTTCCAACCCATGAAAGCATCCAAGCACTTGCCCCTCGTTGTAATCATAGTCGGATATGGTCTTGCATGTTGTTCGTGGAAACACTCAATTACAATTCTGATTTTTATTATTAAAAAATTTAAGCATGTACAAAAATAGAAAAATGGTCTAACCCAGTAAGCCTGCATATTGCCACCACCAGCTTCACGAAGACCCACTCGTGGCCCAACTCAATTCCTCTGTTCTATTGCTCCCTCTTCTCCAGGCCCCAAGCTGCATGAAGTAGAAAAAGACCCCACATTTTATATCAGTTCATCTATAAATATTTTCAGAATGTATTTTAAAAACATAAGCATTCTTTGAAAACCACATGATTATACTCACTTCTGGAGTAGGTCATAATAAACATCTATCGCCATGATACGATCCTGAAGACAAATGGGTGCATAAGCAAATGTGGCGAAGAAAGCTGATGGTGCCCGGCTATCAAAAGACATAGCGTCTGGGGTCTTAAAGGGTTGAAGATAAACAAGCGACCATCTAGCTCAGAGGCAACAAAGCCCACATGGAAGAAGCACACCAGCCTGTGCAATCACGAGGTGCTAAAGGGACCAGTTATCAGGCATCATCAGAACAAAAAATCATTTCATAGTGAAGGAGGGGGAGTGCGGAGTGGTGACCCAAATCCATCTGTAGGCCACTGGACATCCCCTTACAGAAGGGTCTCGGGGAGGAGACAAGCCAGTCAGGGTGCGATGTAGCAACAATGAAACATACAACTTTCCTCTAGTTCCTAAATTCTTCCTCCCCACCCACTATCATGATCCCAATTCTGCCTTACAAATCTGGCTAGACTAGAGGATGTACACTGGTACAAATAGGAACTGGAAACAGAGGGAATCCAGGGTGGATGATCCCTTCAGGACCAGTGGTGTGAGTGGTGATACTGGGAGGGTGGAGGGGGGATGTGTTGGAAAGGGGGAACCGATTACAAGGATCTCACATAACCTCCTCCCTGGGGGACGGACAACACAAAAGTCGGTGAAGGGGACAGTGCAAGATATGACAAAAGAATAATTTGTAAATTATCAAGGGTTCATGAGGGAGGGGTGAGCAAGGAGGGAGGGGAAAAATGAGGATCTGATGCTAGGGGCTTGGGTGGAGAGTGAATGTTTTGAGAATGATGAGGGCAATGAATGTACAAATGTGCTTTACACAATTGATGTATGTATGGATTGTGATAAGGGTTGTATGAGCTCCTAATAAAATGATTAAAAAATAAACCTTTATCTCATCATATATATGGTAGATGTTCACAGTTGTTAATGATGTTGGTTTTTCACAATTCATTTCCTTGTATCAGGATCTGAACAAGCCCTACATTCCAACTGGGTGATAAATCTCCATGATGGATCGTTTTCAATCTACAGGCTTCCTCTTCCTCTCTTGTTCCCTTTGGGGTGATTGACTGAAGGAACAAGCATTGATCCTATAACTTTTGTACTGTCTGGATTGGGTGAACCAGATCATTGGACATCTTCCTATATTGTGCTACTCGCTGCAGTCTCACCTGAGAGCCAGGTGCTTGCCTGGATGTTACAAGTCATTGGTATTCTTTGTCTAGACCTGCTATTTCATGGGGGGATGACACAATGGTGGTAAACCAATGCTGTCATTCCACCTACACTTATTAGTTAAATACTTATTTTTTTCATGCTTAAACTTTTCATTGTGATTTGGGTGAAAGTTTGCAAAGCAAATGTTTTCCATGCAACAATTTCAATTTGTGACATTGCTTGCAGTATAATGTGACAGTCCGTTTCCCACTTCCTTGCTGTGTTTCCTGTTTCCCTTAGTTCTTCTTTCCCATCCCTCTACCTTCTGAGTTCCATCTCTGAGCTTAATGCCCATTTGGCACCGCACGTGTGCTTAGTCTACGGAGTGCTTGCTTCCTGGTGTTCTTGTGCACTTGATAAGCCTGTCTATAGTTTGGTTGACAGTTGGGCCAGGAGGCTAAGTTCAGGTCTGTGCCTGAAGGGTGACTAAGGGCCATGGTCTTGGAAGCTCCACTCATTTCTGTCGGTCAGTACGCCTGGGCGAGTTTTACGAATTTGAGGGTTACTCTAATTTTTTTCTCCCACTCTATCCAAGGATTTTTATTGTGCTCCTGCTCGGGCTGTCACCATCTCGTTCTTCTGGTCTCGGGGTCATGGAGAATGGGACCCATTAGTCTTTTGGACTAATTGTTTCCGTGGGTCTTCGATGTTCTTCACCCTTCTTTCCTCTGAACGGAGAAGAGAAATAGTGAACATCTTAGATGGCTGCTCACAAGCTTATAAGAGCTCCCTTGCTAGTCACCAGGGCAGGATATAGAACATTATCCCTGTGGACTGTCTTCTGCCAATTGCCCTTAGTGTCCCCTGGGACGATGGTCCTGAGGCCAGAGGCTCAGTCTTCCAAGATATTTGGTTATGACTTAGAAGTTTTTATAACTTTGACCTCTGTATTCCTAAATATATTTGCAACAAATATAAATATAGATCTATAAAAATGCTCCATCAAACCTGTTTGTGGGGGTAGTAGCTGGAATACTCCGTGAAAAAGAAACTCCCCTTTTCAACTCCCCAGTTTAACAGTAACTGAAATGACTAGATAATGTTATCAGTTGCTGTATTATAATTTACAAGAACTTTCCTTTAATGTAAGATGTGTAGCTTATTATTAGTGAGTGTGTGCTACTCTGAGTGGCATCACAAGTTCTTGTACACACAGTCACTTTATTGTTGCATATTCTTTTATTAGGAACAGAAGCATTTGGCGAAGAGGCATCCATTCCCTTAGGGGCACCCTCTTTTATAAAAAGGCAGCTCTGGTCCTGACCATCACCACTTACCTCCAAGCTTGTCATAAGCACTGGATGTTAGCAGAGGCTTTGTTTGGGATTTCTACCAATGTACATTCCTCCATCTAGTTGTCTGTGTTTATGGCCAGTGCCAGGGAGGCAAAAATAACTTTATGGAAAGAAAACCCAAATCACTTCACAAGCTAAAAGCAGCACCGTCTGAGAAGATGGTGACAGAATCCGGAACGGCAGCTCCGCCTGAGTGTTTCTGAAGTGTTGACGAGCGGGTGTTCAGCATCCTTTTTCTGTCTGTTCTTCAGATGCCAAAGGGCAAGTTGAAAGTCATCCCCTTTGGATCTTCTTGCGCCCCAGAAGGGACTGCTCCTTAATCTTCCACAGATAGCCACGGATCAGCAGATCCTGTGTAACGAGGGAACACCGTCTGCTTCCTTGAATATTTGCTTCTGATGCATCCATTGTTGATGTTTTTAATGATACCGTTTTTTTTTAAGTCCTTAAAAATAAAATAAAATTGTGGGATTGGTGGCATCCTGTTATAAAATTGATTGTGGTAGTGATGGTATAATTCTTCTTGAGACTATCGAACCATTGAATCATTGAATTGTATGATACGTGGAGTAGGTGCCAATGCAACTGCTGGGTGAAAATAAATGAAAATCATGTCCATCTATTGTCACTGACAATGGTAGATATTAAGGAGCTCTGGTGATGAAGGCTGCTAAAGTCAATAGTTCGAAACCACTAGCTATCCCATGGGAGAAAGATGAGGCTGCCTATTCTTGTAAAAAATTAGTCAGTTCTACACTCTTTCATAGGGTTGCTATGAGCCAGAGTCGACGCTTTACAGTGAGTTGTTTGTTTGTTGTTTTTATGGTGACTGTGACCCATGTTATCATGGCTGGGATTGAGCTCCTTAGGGGAAGACCCTACGTTTAACACTCATCTCTGTTGTTGATGTCCTGTTTGTGTTGTATGATATGAGGTGGTTCTCTATACCAGTCTGGACTCCGTAAGAAGCAACTGCCATATTCTAAACTGGACTGTGGTCGTGATTGTACAGCTCTTCTTGAAATGATGAACTATTGTGTGGTATGTGGAAGAAGTGACAATGTCACTGTTCGAAAAAGAGGAAGCAATTTCTCTGCTGACAGTGCGTTCTTCCCCTTGCAGTGACCGGCTGGCCCTCCTCCAGGTCAGGGCCATCCTGCAGCAGCTCGGCCTGGACAGCACATGCGACGACAGCATCGTGGTGAAGGAGGTGTGTGGAGCTGTGTCCCGGCGGGCAGCACAGCTCTGTGGCGCTGGCCTGGCTGCCATTGTGCAGAAAAGGAGAGAAGACCAGGGGCTCAAACATCTGAAGATCACTGTAGGCGTGGATGGCACCCTGTACAAGCTGCACCCTCAGTGAGTGTCCGGGGAGAGGGGTGGGGGGAGCAAGGGGTGTGGGGGATCAAAACAGCCTCCTCAACGGACAGGTGAGACGGTGCATCCTCACCCTGGATGGGGAGCGAGTGCCCCGTGGTGGTGGTGAAGTCAGGTTGATGAGTCTGACAGACAGCTCAGACCAAAGTCTTCACATCTCTACTTCTTACTGCTGTCCTGGGGAAATATTATCCAGGTACTCTGAATCCCAGTTTCCCTATCTGTAAGGGGAGGCAACATTAAGCCCTAGCTCACAGAGTTGCACACAGGAGTAATGAGTGTTCCACATGGTCCTCAATAAAGGTGAACTATTAGTGTCAGTGTTTCCATCACACCTCACAGGTTTGCAGTGAGAACTGAAGAGTCTGCATAGCACCAAGCATATACCAAGTGTGTGCTGGCTCTGCATTTACCTCTGATTCCATGGACAGAGGCTTAAGAGCGCTATCGCGAAGTGCAGGCTTGAATCCTGCTCCACACTTAGAAGCTGGAACCACCCCCCACTCAGTTCCTTCACCTTGTTTTAGACTCAGTTCTTCATCTACAAAGTGAGCCCAGAAATCATATCTACTTCATAGGTATGTGAACATCAAGAAGCATAGTATCAGCAAAGTGTGTGGCATGTTCAAAAAGCTAAATAATAGAAGGAAGCTCTCCTATTTTAGGAATCTTGCTGGTGGTGGTGTAGGTTATGTGTCATGGTGATCACAACAAGATTGGAAGTTAGAATTCATCAGCTACTCCACCAGAGTACAAACATGTACATGTACAGACATCTAGCTGCAGAAACACCAGGGGGCAATTCTCCTCTGTGCTGTGGGTTCATTAGAAGTTGGAATCAACTCAATGGCAGTAGGTATGCTTTTGACTCAATGCTTTGCATTTTGTTTTGGCGATGAGAAAAAGTTAACATAAACTTATAAAAATTGTTCTAAAATGCCTACATGAACATAAGAGCCACTGTACACAGAGCCATCTCAATATGTAACTCACTTCCAAAAATGCATCTGAAAAAATCGAATATACTTCCATAAATAAAAACCTCAACAAACTAGAAGAGAATTTCCTCAGCTTGATAAAGAGTCCTGCAGCAAATCATGCTTAATGGCGAAAGACTGGAAGTTTTTCTCTTAAAAATCATAAAAGGACAAGATGTTCACTCTTGCCATTTCTGTTCCAATTTTACTACTTCCAGGTGGTCCAGGGAGAAAGAATAGGCTTTTCTACAAATGGTACAACAATAATTACAGACAAAAAACTGAAGTTGGACCCTACCCCATAGAACTCACTCACTGACGTTGAGTCGAAACCAACTCAGAGTGGACAAGGTGGAACTGCCCCTGTGGGTTTCCAAGACTGGGACTTTTCATGGGAGTAGAAAACTTCATCTTTCTCCCTACCTCATACTACACAAAGATTAACTCAAGATGGATCAAAGGCCTAAAATGAGAAAACTTTAAACAAGTAAATTTCCATGGCAGTGAATTTGGCAATGAATGCTTGTGACACCAATGTCATTAGCAACCAAAGAGGAAATAGATAATAGAGAAGTAGGACAGCATCAAAATTTTAAATATTTGTGCTTCAAAGGATACTACCAAGAAAGTGAAACTATATCCTACAGAATGGTTGGAAATATTTTCAAATTCTACATTTGATTAGGGACTTTTATCCAGAATTTTTATTCTAGGCTCAACTATTTCTCTCTTGTTTCATGACAGAAATTTCTTCTCTAACTTTTAAAAAATCCTTTTACTGGGGGCTTATACAACTCTTATCACAAGCCATACATACATCAATTATATAAAGCACATTTGTACATTCGTTACCCTCATCATTTTCAAAACATTTGCTCTCCACCTAAGCCCCTGGCATCAACCCCTCACCCCCCCCCACTACCCACTCCCTCATGAACCCTTGATAAATTACTATTTTGTCATATCTTACACTGTCCGACATCTCCCTTTTGTTGACATCTCACTTTTCTGTTGTCTGTCCCCCAGGGAGGAGATTATTTGTAGATCCTTATAATCGGTTCCCCTTTCTACCCCACCTTCTTCCATCCTCCGGTATCGCCACTGTCACCACTGGTCCTGAAGGGATCATCTGTCCTGGATTCCCTGTGTTTCCAGTTCCTATCTGTACCAATGTACATCCTCTGGTCTAGCCAGATTTGTAAGGTAGAATTGGGATCACGGTAATGCTGGGGAAGAAGCGTTTAGGAACTAGAGAAAAGTTGTATGTTTCATCGTTGCTACACTGCACCCTGACCGACTAGACCTCACATATTTAATGGAACCAGCAGAGCCCCAGGAAACTGCAGTGGTCGGTCAGAGATCACTCACTAGTTGTGCGTTAGAGTCAGCTGCAGAACCTGTTTTGGAAGACTGATCCTCAGAGATGCCCCACATCTGTTCCATTAACCGTAATCTAAGATCCCAGGACAGAGGTCTCCCAAGAACTGAGGCATTTGTAGTTGGCCAACAAATGTAAAAATAAAGCAGTTGTTTAAGACACTGCACAGAGTCAGAGGAAGGAATAATGAGACTTTCTACTCCCATAAAGAGTTACCATTTCAGAAATCCACAGCAACAGTTTTACCCTGTCCTATAGGGTCGCTGTGCATCAGAATTGACTCAATGTCAGTGAGTTTTTGTTTGTTTGTTTTTGTTTTAAATAGAGCCATCTGGAAGGAACAGACAAGATTGAAGCTGTTCACAGATGGGCTGAGACCTTATGTAAGGTGCTGACGGTGTTTCTCTTTCTCGTAGCTTTTCTCAAATATTGCAAGAAACCGTGAAAGAGCTCGCCCCTGAGTGCGACGTGACGTTCATGCTCTCAGAAGATGGCAGTGGGAAAGGAGCAGCTCTGATCACTGTTGTGGCCCAGCGCTTTCGGCAGCTGCAGAAGGAAAACTAAGGCCAAGGTGGTGTTGGGTGTGAACACTGACCAGCCTTTCCTCCGATGAGCTGGTCAGGGAAAACTCCTGGCAGATTTCGTTCACCTCTGAATGACACAGGGAGAGCCTCATGTTCTTGCACCCTTACCATCTGGATAGTGCTTTTGCAGTGGCATTAAATGATGTGTCTATTTGACGTATTTGCACTGAAGATGGGCCAACATGTGAAAGTAAAGTGGCTGGCCTGAGAGATCCTTTTCAGAAAAATTTCCCTCTAAGACATAACTTTTTTTCTGTGACTCTGGTGGACTTAAAAACATGCAATACTGGCCCATGTGGCCTGGAGATTGATTCCTCGCTATGATACTCAAGACATCAGATTCAGTAGATTGATCTCATTGTTTGTGGGTGAACAATTGAGAGTAAAAGGAATTCATGTACTAAATTGTGGATCCAATTTAATTTGTCCTGGACTTATCATGTTGACTTCAAATGGGAAGTAGTGGGATCCATTTTTGGGAAGCCCTTGTGGGAACCTCCTCATGCTTAAGTGAGTTTTGTTAGCCCTGTAGGATTTCTCCCAATATGTTGTGTGATGGGTGGGGTGCCATTTAAAATATCTTTCCCCACATGGTTTGTTGTTGCTGCTCTTGATAGCTGCTTTAAGGATGGTTGAGTATATAAAATTCAATAAGTAAATTAAAAAAATATATATATATACCATTTCTCAGGCTCTTTTGTAACAGCATACGCTGCTGGTAGATCAAGGGACAGAGTCAGAAGTTAGTTTTGAGAGCATCTGCCTAGTCCAAACTTTTCACCAATGGGGGGAATTTCTAGGGGGTAGGAATGAGATTAAGGGATTTCTTCTACAATATCATCAACCGATTAGCCTATTTTTGCTTCAGTAAATACTTCCAGGAACTAGGAGTTTATCACTTGGTCTCATAGCTCTGGCTGTAAGCTCTTGCTGGGCTAGTAATGGAAAGGTCAGCAGTTTGAACCCAACAGTTGCTCTATGGGAAAAAAGACACAGCAATCTACTCTCATGCCTATTACACTTTAGGAAAGGCTGGGAGGCAGTTCTACTGTCATTACTGACAATGTGCAGCA